GCTGAGCCTGGGGCTTTCCCCATTCTTCATTCTTCAGGTTACTGTCAAGAAAAGTCTGTAGTACAAGGAAAGGCAGATGCTCTCATTTCCTCTAATGATGCAATCCCGACAGGTCCAGCACTCTCAGTTGTTCCTGACTCACCTGACACAACAGGTTGCAGCTCAAGAAACCGCCATCCCCAGCCCATGTTCTGCCTGTGACATCAAAGAGATGGAAGACTAGCAGCATCTTGCAAGAGTATTACAATTCCTCATTGAGGAATACAGAATCACACAGAATCACAGAATCACCAAGGTTGGAAGAGACCCTGAAGATCATCGAGTCCAACCCATGCCCTAACACCTCAAACCAAACGCATGGCAGCAAGTGCTACATCCAATCTTTTTTTTAAAACACATACCAGGGATGGTGAACTCCACCACCACCCCAGGCAGACCATTCCAGGTACTTTATCACTCTTTCAGTAAAAAACTTTTCCATAATCATCCAACCTATATTGGATAGATGAAGGTCTGGCAAAAACCAGTACATACCAAGCTCTGCTTTTGCTCAAAATTGATTCCTTACTTAAGAAGTATTTTTTTTTTCCTTGAGTCCACTCTTGTGAAGCAGCCTCAGCCACCACCCTCAGCAGCACAAAGTTATTTGTAACTACCAATGGCCCTTGGTAAATGTGCATTAAGTTACAGGTAGAATTGAAGATGAAGCAACATTTCCACAATGGAAAGCTTCATGTGGGCTCAGATGCTCTGGAAATAAAGATAGAAATCAACTATCAGTGACAATAAACTTTCGCATATCTACTATTCCAGAAATCTGGGAGATTACAAGACTTAGACAGCAACAAACTCTTCTTGCTCAGATAAGCTTATGCTTTGAAGATTTGGTTTTATCAGTGTTTCAAGTCCAAGAAAAAAACAGAGGAGCTTTGAAAGATATTGTTAAGAATATTCTGCTTTGAAAGTTACACTTCAGGAGCCCCACATCTCCCCCAGCTTTCCCGATTCCCAAACCTAGTGGGATATTTAATATCACCTGTTAAGTCCTCCTTCTTCTCTTACCTCAGATATGAATGTGTATTTTGAAATGGGGAATTACAAAATAAAGCACAGCACACGAAAATAGAATTGTCTTTCATGCTTGTTTTGTTAAAGGGTGTGTAATAACAGCTAGAACAGAAGAGGGAGTCTTTAATCACTGTATCAGCTCTATTTGCAGATATTCAGAAAATTAAACAAAGCATGAGCCTGTATTCGTTAACATCTTTCCCCAGATGATCGACAGAGTCCTCAGCTAGTTCCTGAATACCACTGACCTCCTCGGGCTTGGACTGATAGCTTGGTTGGCGTATGACACGTACCTCTTCCCATTTAGTGAGAAGCTGTGGGTCCTGCACCATAACTGTGTCCCTTTTGTCTGCTCAGATGGCACCATTTCCCAGCACTGCAAGCCTCCTGAAGCTAGGAGGCTGAAATCTCAACAGTATGGGTGTGTCTCAAGGGGGGCTGTCTACTCCAAGGAAACATCAAGAGCCAAAGACCTTTGGCTCCTCATGGGGAAGCAGTGCTCTGGGAGGGAGGAAAGAGGCTGCCAGGCAAGATGAACTACCTTCTGCAGGTGTCTGCCTATTCATTTAGGATGCTTAGATACCAAAGCCAGAGATGTGTGTCTTGAGCTCACTTCTAATACAAACTGTGAGGAACTCTCACTTTGAAAAAGGAATTAATTGCTCAGCAAAGAGGTACCATGAGCTCATGCTAAGGGAAAACTCTGCATCAGCTGGCATAAGATATGGTGCCATGTGCACACTTGAGTGACACCACTAACCTGAACAAGAACACAAATGCTCCCCAAGCCACAGTGCCCTGTGGAGCCTCTTGTTCTTCCCAATCACATCTGGCAGGACTGGTTCAGTGTCTTGAGTGCTACAACCAGCAGTCACATGTAGGGTTGGTGTTCATGCCAACATTGTTTGAACTTAAACCACACATAGAAGATAAAAAGACTGTTAAAACAAGAGGGCTGCTTTCCTAAAGGCTGCTATCTTGATTTAAGGTGTAAGCAGCAGAAGTCATGACCTTAGCAGCAAAGTCAGCACTGCCATTTCCCCATGTCTGCAGAGGCCTCTCCACTCTGTGCTATCCCGTGTCCTTGAGGACAGAACCTGCCCATGCCCTGCTATAGCAGTTACCAAAGCAGAGGTAGCTGGCAGTGGACTCTCCCTCTACCTCTTCTTGCCATCTCTTCCTCAGCAGCTTCTTGGCTCAAACTGCAGAATTTGATTACACAGAGCTCAATGTGGGCTTGACTTCTGCTGATGCTTGAGCCAGCTCCACATCCTTCAATAGCAAACCTGAACAAAGGCAACCTGCATTCTTCAGAGACATCAGACCAAATAGACTCTTGACAAAACAGTGCACCAGCCATCACTTTAAGAGATTTCCATTGTCATCTACACTGTTGACCCTACTAACCAAAATACCATGCTTGCTGGGAGTGGTGCAAGGCTCCTCAGCCTTGTCTGCTCACCCAGGGTCTGGGCAGTCATTCAGACATTTGCTGAGGATCATCTTACTGGCTATTGTAGTATTCATGTCTCTGCCTATTTAGTCAGTGACACAGGGAACTTCCAGGTAACCAGCCTAGTACAGACAACACAGTCTTCATAAATTATGACTGAGCAGTTCCATAATGTCCTTTCAGCATTTCATTTAACCATCAAATCACTCTTAATAGCAATAGCACATTTCACCCCAGCTCAAAAATATCACTACAATACAGCCACCCCGACCTTTTCTAGCTGTGCTCCTGAAATTAATTGAGACACATTAGTGACTTCAAACCAAAGCAGGCAACTTCTTTGAGTGGGATACAGCACCACTTGCCTCCAACATGTCCTGAATTAGTGCTAGAGTCTTGTCCTAGATAATTTTACTCTTTGAACCATGTTGTTCACCTCATCCACTCACCAGGTTTGCCAGACAGGTTTGCCAGACTGAGATTAGAAAATGGGATTTGAAGATGAAATGTCAAGGGTCGTGTTGTGTTAATCTGAAAGTATGCATTAGTCCTGAGTCACTGCCAGCTAAATCCAGGAACACCACACTGTGGCACTCCCTCCCAGAATAATGTCATTTTGGCTCATCAACTCCTTGTGTTTTCTTCATATCCTCCTGGGTTTTCTAAATGCATGACACAGGACACTCTTCCGTACATTAAGGAAACTCCTTCTACCCATCACATTTTATCTTTTAATTTATGTTCTGCAAGTTAATTATTTCATTTATTTCCTCTTATTTAGTGGGCTAGCCTCTCCAAAGAAGCAGCATATCCCCTTGTTTTAACCACCTAAATTATTCCTTTTCCCTAAATGCTTACATATGCAGAAGCAGGCTCCATCCAAATGAGCTCTACCTCTCCACTTGCTGCAGTACACAGGATTATGTGATAGAGTAGTCCCCATTGCAGTCATTCAGCTGGGGAAGCATGGACCCAGCTGCTGAACCACAACACTATGAGTACATACTGTCCTGAACTCAGACTCTGTGGAGAAAGCATGAATACTGATGGTGTTCTGCACTGCTACACTGCCATATAATTAAAGGCAGCATACCTCAGATGTTCAAGACTTCCCTGAACTAAGCCCTTATTAAGCAACAGGAACTATATAGGTACCATGAAATGTGGAAGGGTAGTAATCTCCTCTCCAAGACATCACATGGACATTAAATGCTTGGTAAATGCTATAAATTATAGAAGGGAGGAGAAAGGGTATTATCAAATAAACAGCACTTCAGACTCAAACATACTGAACTCCGTCCCCAGCAGTTTGCTTCTTGAAGGTGAGGCACAAAGCTGGAGTGCAGTTGCTGAACCAAATGTAGTTGATAACTGCAAGAGATATTCACTCATGCCACTCATGTTTGTTCTGATAGAGCACTCACCACTTGATGTATGCTTGACAATTAAAATCCTACCAGCCTTAAGAATTACTATACATTGATTTTTATAAGTATTTTAAAATACAGACATCCCTCCTGTATATTGTTTCACCAGAGATCTCTGCACCAACTGACTGGTCATGGGAGCTGTAATACCTGGAGGTGAGAGTTGTTATCAGGGCATTTCTCAAGTTCCATATGTAGACTGGTCAAATTTAGGCTTTTCTTCTCCTACATTTTGTTGTCTTGCTTCACTAGACAAGTGCTCATTCATACTCTTTACTGCATATTACTAACACTTTTGAAACGAAGGATTAAGGCTTAGTCCATGTGTGCTACCTGCACATGCTACCTTCTGCATGTTGTTGATATGCAGAACTCCAAATACAGATCTAACTTTAGCAGCAGGATTCTGCTTTACAACACACATAATAATCCCATGGAGACCAGGTGTAGCAAGTTCCACCACGAAGGTACAGTCCCTAGGTCACAGCTACATTAGGGCTCTAGCTATGGGTCAGGTGATCAGAGATTGCACTTGTTCTCTCCTGTGGCCACTCCTATGCTCTGGCAAAAAGCAATATCCAGGTGAGCACCACACTGACACAAGTTGCACATAGCATTCAACAGCTATGTGGAAGGGAAGCACAGTACCCAGAGACATGGGAGTGGACACACTAGCTATCTCTGCACTTGGAATGCTGCATCTATATTGAGGCACAGACACTGGAGATTGACTCTGATAGGATTTAGTCACAAATACCAGGCAGTCCTCGGTAATACTAAGCTGACTCTGCCAGGTGCAGTCACAGGTTCTTGATGAACTCCAGAGCAGCTATGAACCAACCCATCTCCATGTTCACACAAATAGGCCTTTTTTCCCTTTTCCTGGCCTCCAAAGAGCTGGCCAGACCATCAGGGAAGCTGGTTGTAGACACACTTCAATGACAGAAAAGTCCAAGTCACAAAGGTAGCACTGGATCAGTGAGTCCTCATGGATTGAGAGAAGCTGTCACAGTATCTCTGCACAGCATTCCATGTATCCTTGTATTCATGTATCCATGTATCCTGGTCCTTTTCCCATTATCTGAAGCATCTCCACCACCCTTGGCCTGGATGACAAGAGAGCTGACGATGTAGCCAGCCTGTTGTACTGGTCCTGCTAGCAAACAGTGCCTGGAAAATGTTTACCTGCAAACCTAAAGAGGCTTATCACTCCTGAGACAAAACATGTAGGTAATACATACCCTCCTGGCTGTTGTTCAATCAAAATGATGATGACTACTGTGCTTATGCCATATTTAAGAGTGATGCTGTTAATTAGCCAGGTTCAAAGAGCCTATGACAGATCAAATACATCTGTAATGAAACTTGGGTCCCAAATGGCTGTTACTGTAAGTAGGCATTATGCTGCTTGATTCCCAGGGCACAACATAATGTGCTAAATAACTTCATTTGTCATACCACAGTCAGACAAAATGAACGCTAAACTTGGTGGCACAGGTGGTATTCATTGAGGAGTTATGAAAAAACTTAGACAAAATAGCTGAATTACTAACTGAAGTGTGTTTCTCTTGCCAGAATTATACCTGATTATTGGGAGTCAATGCTGTAATCCATAAAAGGTTATGACATGTCAAGGAAAATATAGTTCCATGAGCTCAATATGTGTACTGAGCAGATAGTGAAGAGTCTAAGAAGGGACATCACTACGGAACTTCTTGACCTTTCTGGTAAAAGTTGCCAGTTTTTGTTAAGAGAATTCTGGACGTAAAACTTTATGGAGTTTTTGGAAGAGGCCAAGCACAAGTGGAGATAAGGGTGATCCAGCATATCCAGTCTACCTGGATTTCCAAAAGATTTTTGGCAACATTTCTCATCAAATAAAGTAGTCAGCCATGGAATAAGAAGGAAGGTTGTTTAGAATAAGTGATTGCAAAGAAAGAAATATGTGATAGCAGAAAATCAGTCAGTCAGTCTTCAGTCAGTTCAGAAAATCAGTCAGTTACTATGCCAGTAACTCACCAGTGTGGTGCTAGACCTGTACTGTTCTGCACGTTTATAAATGGTTTGAAGAGGGTAAAACACTGAGGAACAAAAGTTTGCTGCTAACATTCTAACTTGGCATACAGAACTATGGCTTGGTAAATGACTGTAACCAGTCAGGAGAGAGATGCAATTAGAGGCAGCTGTATGAAAATACCAGCTCATTGCTAAGGAGCAGGACAAAAAAAAACCCAAAAAAAAACCCCCAAAAAAACCACACCACCAAAAAAAAAAAACTGAAAAAAACCACCCAACATTGAATAGCAGGGGCTATTGGAGAAGCAACAGTGCAAAATACAAGTCATCATTGTACCACCCATAGCTTGAGTACTATGTGTCATTTGGAGACTGTGTATGGAAATGGCAAGGTCTCAGAGAAAGGAAACAAGACTGTTGCTGAGAGTGGCTGGGAAGGAACTGGCTATGACACCTCAATGTGCAAAGTGCCTAACAAGGAATATGATACTGGCTTACAAAATTTAAAGTGGATGGACAAAACAGTTAGGGACTTATTCACATTATCTTCTTATTTAGGAATGAGAGGACATCCAATGAAGACTGTGGGTCCTGATTCAAAGTGAATAAAGTGAGGTTGACAACATGACACTCAAATGAGGCCATCCAAATTACTTAAGGAAATTCTAATGCTGAAGGTAGCAGGATGTTGAGACAGTATGATGGGGAACGTGATTCTTGGCTGTGCTGGTTACTCCTACCTGAGTATCTGCCTCTAACTTCTTTCTCTTGCTGTTACACATGTTCTCTAGTCATATAGTCCTGATTGGCAGCACCTTTCCTCATAGCTGGCAAGGATCTTAGCTGCCCCAGCCTTTGTCACCATTTTTTTTTCTGAACTTTAGAGCACATTTCAACTATACTCCAAAGCACATTACACAAATGGTGCTGGTCACATCTTCTGTGCATCTAGTATGTTGGCCAGGTGCCTTGTGCAGCAATCCTGCTGTTTTTTTTTGACACGTCCCTTGATGCCTTGCTGTCTTGTTGGCCTCCACAGGAACAAGTGAGAAGATTACTCTGGCAGAGCTGGATGTACCCTGAGCCAGAGAGAGCAGAGCCATTCCTACAGTCATTGGTGGAGGTTTGCTCCCTGCTGCCTGGGAGATTAGGCAGCTACTGTGCTTTGACTTGCCTTGCAGTTGCACAGTGGAAGCATGTTGGTGGTGAGACAGTCTGAACCTCTCTCTTGTTCTGAACAAAGAGCTCATCTAGCAAAACAACTAAATACTGTTCCAAGCCAAAAGTAAACTTTTCACCATCCTCCTGGTTTAACTTTAACCCAGAACTGATCCAGTCCACCCCAAGGTCACACTTGCTTGTGACAGTATGAGGAAACACCATGATCACACAGCTGGGAAAGGCTAATCTACTTCTCAGGTGTGGCATAAGCTTGACCTTGTGAAATATTGACATGGTGCACATAAAATGCACTGATTTTCAACTCCCTGATGCTTTCATGGATGCTGCACTGATTATTTTTTAGCATCTAAACCTTTAATCGCTAATAGGTAAGAAGAGCTTTTTGTTGTCTTAGTGTTCGAATTGCAAAGCTGGCACTGTTCAGGAATGCATTTATTGTAAGCTGAAGACAATCACCTTTATACCAACCAATCCTGCCCAAGAGTACAGCCTCCCCTTCTCCACTCCCCCCAAAAAATATTTAAGCAACCACCTCCACCTTCCTAGGCTATATGCTCTTACTCTGCCACTACCTGGCTGCACAGGCACATAATTGCCAATTCAAGGAACTCAATCAAATTGAGTGAACAACCAGCCTAGTTTAACTGCTTTGTTAATTGAAGCAAACTAAATCATGCTAAATTCAGGATAATGATTTGCAATATGGCTACACAAAGGGAAAGCTTCACTTACATGACTGTAAGCTCTTTGAATAGTATTTTCCAAAATCTGGCACTCATCATAGAGACCCATTTTAAAAAGAAATCACTCTATTTACTAAAATTTCTTCCTCAGGAAGCTTTCAACATACTGCAGTACCATGTATTCTTACTTGTGCCATTGGCAGACCTCCACTGTTGCCACAGGTAAGAAAGATCCTTCATTGCAGCCTGCTTTGGCAACCTGCATGCAGGTGAAGGCTAGAAGGGAGAAATGGTCAAAAAATCAGCAATTTCCTTCACATGACCTGCAACAGAATTGTCTAATTATTTGACAGGAAAAAAACAATGAAGAAAGTATAAATATACAGTGTTAGTGCACTTCTGATTAAATAATGATAAGAAACAAATCTTGTTCCCCCAAAAGACAGGCTATATTAAGCATGTAATATTTTAGACATTTAACAGTCATCTGTGACTCATGAGCAGTCTCTTTGTGGTATTATAAAGACACACACTGACACATTATCATCTTTACAACATATAACCTATAACCTTTGTACTCATGACAGAGCACAGGTAAGTCTGTAAATACATGAACTGGATGCCCTTTCTTCATATTACTCACTACTGCATATAGAGCAGGAAGCATACTGCTTAGCAAGATAAAGGGAACACGCTACAGAATGAGTTGACAGCCTTTTGTGAAGACAGTATAACTCTCTTAATTTCAAATTCTTCCAGTGAACTGTGGCCTCTTATGTACATTCATTTCCCAGTAAGGGTGCTAAGACCTTCAGTTCAGTAATAAATATGTAATTATTACCCTGCATTTGTCAAGAAACAGGAAGAGAAAACTCAGTGGAGTAAACTCTCCACTCCTTAATGAGACACATGTTAATATATATTGCTATTTTAGCTTGGTCCTCTGAAATACTATCACAAAACATCCTACTTTCATTGCTCTCCAAACGAATGTGTCATTATGTAAATTTTACTCTACCATTTAGACATTACAGCTACAATTGTCATGCTCATAATTAACTGTAAGGAGTATCATCTTTGTTAAGTGAAGTCAGGCAAGCTGAACTTGAAGTCAAGTTGAAGTACTTTTGAAGGGCATGTAAAAGAACAAAAGAAAGCACTCAACTCAAATGTGTAAAAAAATCTTATTTAGATATCTTAAAAAATACAAGGCACATTTTATAAAATCAAATAGCTATCCATCAAAACTTTGTTGTATATCCCCATATAAGATCATGTACTGGCAAATGTTAAGTAACAGTGGATAATCTCAATGTTTTTTATCCCAGCGCTAGCTGATAAGATCAGCTTGTCAACTCGAACAGGATAACATTATAGGTTTTTGCTATGTTAGTATTTACAGCACAGTAACTTGGAAAACATTACATAAATTATATTATGTCAAAGAGAATAAACAGTCTAATCCAAGATGGTGAAATGGATTCTCCTCTACTTCTCTCTACAGCCTCAAATGATGTTCAGTGTAAGCAGGTACACAGAGCAAGGTCCTATACACACAATCTGTTCAGATGCTGTAATACATTACAGTTGCAGTGAAACAAAACAGACTTTTCTGGTAATTAAAAATGCTAACAATACTGCATATAGATTCCAGAGACATTTTTCTTTTTAGCAACTTTTATATTCAAAAATAATGTCTTCAGCCTCACTTCTAGGTCAGCAGCATTTTTGCAGCCAGCATCTGAAATGTCTTTTTTCCCCCCCAGTTCTCAGGAATATTTATCTGCTTATGATTTCTACACAGAACAAATGTCAGTTCCAAATTCCAGACTTCAATGTAATTAAATGCAGAGGTGTTTCTTCAGAGTCCTCTTGTACAAAGTAAGTCCATTGTCACTCACATCCTTTCATCAGTAATAACAAAAGTTCCATTTTTCTAAGATTTAACTCAGTAGGTTGATTTATTGGTCCTACTTGAGTTTGAAGAATAAGAACTCCGATTTCTTGGGGGTACCTGCTTGATGAGAGAGACACTTGGCATCCTCTGTGTAGTTCGCACACTTTGGCAAAGAAGAGCATTATTTAAGGTTGTCTCTGAAGTCTTTTGAAATATAATAATAGGATGAATGGATCAATACAACTATTCAAAATGGAAAGACACAGTGCAGTTATGTACCACACATACAGATGGCTTCTGGCTATAGGCTTTGAGGAGTGAATAGTGCACAATAATCAGCACATTGCTAGGTGGTAAAACAGATGAGATACATGGACAGGACAACAATAATGAGTTTGACTGCTCTTTTCGTTTCTTCCCAGTGCTTACATCTATGATGGAAGCGCTCAGGGGTTTTAATCATTAGAATGTATGCAACAGCAGTGATAATAGCTGGGATTAAGAAGAGTCCAATTGCCAAGTGAGAGGAAATAACTGAACATATCATGAGCTGAAACATTTTCAGGTAACACATCATGGCAGGGTTGTGATGTTAAGATTTGAAATATATGCTGTCTGATTAACAAGCATACAATGGTATGGTGCCCAACACAATCAGTATCCAGATAGCAATGGAGATGCTCAAAGCAATTTCTGATTTCTTTTTTGAATGTACTATGGGGTTCACTACTACCCCAATACCCGTTGTACACTGAGACATGTCATGAAGAGGATGAACAATACATGTTTCCATAGAAAAACGCAACAAATACTTTGCAGAGACCTTCACCAAATAGCCAGTTATTGCCATTTAGATGGTATGAAATCTTCAGTGGGAACCAGACAACAAAAAGAAGGTCTGCCAGTGCCAAGTTAACCATATAAATCACAGCCGGATGTTTCTTCTTTTGTTCGGAAAAAAAAGACCCAGAGGGCCATGGCATTGCTTGGCAAACCAATTATAAAGACAAAGACATAAACAATGGGAATAAAAACTGTAGTCAGCTTTCCTGTGAGGACTTCTGCTACAAATTCATCCACCTCATATAACTCTTCAGAATTATTTGCATTTTGAGCCTTATAGCCAATGAAACTTCTTCCTTTTGGTTTGCTGGAGCCATCATTCTCTAAAACTAAAAAGAAAAATAAAAAAGTTGTTACTGTTGTTGAAGTACAGACTTTTTGCCCTTTTAAAAAATAAACTAGATACAGCAATTTCCTCTGAACATTTACAGAGAGCCTTATCAACCAGAAAATTAAGACTGATATTCAAACACTTGATTCATCTTCCCTTTCTTTTAAATTTATTAACCAAAAGACATCCTTTATCCCTCCAAGAATTCAAGGATTCACCAGAAACCAAAACACTTCTCCATGTCACCAGAGATATTAAAAATGCCTTGTTAAAAGTGCCTTTTTAAAATGGGCTTTCGGGTGCTCTTACCACCTGAACAGTTACAGTAGAAACTGCTTCAACTACCCCAGGGCACCATTTTCACACAGCAGTGCCAGATCACCTGAGTGCTGGGTCATAGAGAACTTCACAGCAGGCTAATTTAATTGCAGTAGAAGCGTTGCCCAGTTTAGATGGCCTAAAAATCAGGTATGTAGTAAAAAGAGAACATACAAGTAAAAGAGAACATTCAGTCAAGCCAAAACTGAAAGTGAGAATGCCATGCCCAAAGCCATGCACAAATTAATCTCCAGGCCATGCCACACGTTTACAGTGTGTCTGAACAGAATTTTGAACAGACTAACTCTGCATGAAGTGGCAATACAGTCATCATCTGAGACATCCTTCAGGAGAGTTGGTCTCTGTGATTTCTA